CTTTTTTAACCTCTGACTACGGCGCGTTTTGAACTAAATGAAAAAAGGAAAAAAAAAGTATGAGTGATGGGATAATGAAAAAAAAAAAAGACAAGTTGTGCGCCTCATTGCGTTTGCTGGCGGTTAATTTTTCTCTCGGTGTCGTTTTTGGCTACACCTTTAGTTTTTCTTTTTTGTTTTCCTTTTCAGTCGGTGCAGTGTGAGATGATCGTGTCTCCTGCGCTGCCTACCATTTCTGCTTTTTTGTTGTTGTTATGAATGCAGCTTCACTTCCTTTTTGTTTTGTTTTTGTTTGAGTGTCATAGCGACGGTCTGCGGGGAATCTCTTTGCTGCGCGTTGTCTATGGGCATCCAACCACAGCCACCACCCCTCTCACTTTCACTCTCTCTATCTCCTTGTGCCTGATGGGCGCATGGTTGCAGCTTTTGGGCTTGGGCTTTTTCTCTCTCTATGTGTGCGTGTGTGCGTGTGTGTGTGCGTGTGTGCGTGTGTGTTGTTGTTGTTGTTTTTCCATGCTGTGATGGGAGAGAGCGGGGGGAAGCGTATGCCCTCCGCTGCTTGTATGCGCTGCCAATCTTTTTCCTTGGCTCTCGCATTTGCCGCCTGCCCGTTGCAGCGTCCGCAGCGGCAGGGGAGGAGGGGGAAGGGAATTAAACTGACTAGCCAAGTAAACGCGTGCGGCACCCACCCGCACAGCGAGCGAAGAGGCAGGAAAAAAAAACCAACAAAAAAACCGAGCGGAAAACAAAAACAAAAAGCAATAAAAGGGAAGCGCGTAATTTTATTCACGTTGCCAGAAATGTCTACCGTGGAGGAGCTGCAGCGGGAGATCGGCGAGGAGAACATGCAACACCAGCAGACAATGGAGACAGTGATGCGGCAGCTGGAGATCAGCCAGAGTGTTCTTGAAGACCAAAAGCAGTCGTTCCAAGAACTCATTACACGGGTCACAAGGCTACGGGCCTTGAAGTGCGAGCTCCTTTCAAGCGAGTCAGGCAGCGTTGCCAATGCACTCAATTTTAACACAGGAAACAAGGACGTGGATGAGTTCCTCTACAGCCTGCAGGACGCTCTGGAGGAGGCAACACTGACAGGCGACACCCTCCTGGATAAGTTCTACAGGGCTGCCCAACAGATCTTGACGCAGGGGAAATCCAGTAGCAGCTCAGCAAAGCGGAGCAGCGACATCGCATTTGTGGTGCGAAAAGACATTCGTGGTGCACAGCTGTGGGCACAAAAGCACTACAAGAAATGCTCCACCTGTGACAAGAAGCGGGCGGGGCTGCCATCATGGGAGCAGACGGACGAAAAAAGTTTGGGGCTGGCTCGATTGGCGGATCTTAGCCTCATCCCTGGAAAGTGCTTTTACAAGGCGGCCATTCGATTCTTCAGAACAAGCTGCGCAGAGCACATGCTTGACGTCTGCCGCGTCTCGGCGGTTCTGGCGATGAGGGGTAAAAATGGGTGTCCTATCAAGGACCCTCCCGCCACGGCCAAGAAAATCACTCAGGTTTTCACGGCTTGGATTCAAACAGCATTGACTACTGCCAGGGATGAGGCAAAGAAGGCACCATGGAATGAGGAGGCCACCAGGAATTTGTTACTGTCAGGCGCCGTGGAGGTGTTTTTGCACTCATTGCACGCAAACGTGTCAGTTTCGTTGGCTTCGCCAACACTAACCAATGTGATGGAGGCGGACTGCACCCCCATGAATGTTAATGTCGTGATATTAACGCCCAGATACATTCCCGCGCTGAGTTCGCTGCTTGAGCTGCTCTCCGACGCTGCGCAGCGTGCGTACTTTGTGAAGCACATTGTGCAACCGTTGGCAGAGCGGCTGGGGAAACTCTTGGACATGGTTGAAGTCGTTACCCGCTACACCAGCTTGGCAACGAACATAGTAGATGCACTCGTTCGGATGGCGCAAATGAAGTGGTTCTCCGAAGTTCTTCGAAAAGACTCTTCCAAAGGCGCAAAAGCTGCTGCCCCACTGGAAAAGATGGGGCCCAAGTTGCAGGCTGTTTTTTTTGTCCTGGCGGTGTTTGGCACCAGTGTGGAGGTGGACTGTGCGATTCCCTCCCCAGGAGATATAAGTGACATTGCTGGCGCCAAAAAGGTTCTGTTAAATGTTCTGGAAAGCTTCCTACGGTTACTCACCGCACCCAATCCGTACACGACTCCTCCTACGAACGACCCAAAGGCTGCTGATGTGATCCTCCGCTTGCTGCGAGCACCCACTATTTTTCTGGAGCTACTTAATAGCACCTTCAGTAGCAGCCGTCGTCTGCCCTCGACGGCTCGCGTTGGCGTGGTGGATTTTCTCGCTTCACCCAAAGCTAAAATTCGCTATGGACTCAAGGTTTTTTCGGAGATCATCGTGGACATCTACCGGCCGTACGCACCGAGTACCGGGGTTGTCATTGCGGACGAGAATGGCAAGGCGGGGAAGCCAAAGGCGGCGGGGTGCGTTCCTGTTGCCGATATGCCGCGTGACATTGTGCGCGCCAACGTCGAAGTGGCGGAGCAGGCGGAGTTGTACATGAAAAAGCTGCTCGCGTGTCGACAGGATACGTCGATGGAGAGTGAGTTATCACAAAGCGGGAATGCGCTCTTAAACCGAGTGATGATGGAGGCGCGCGGGGAGACGCTCTTTTCCGCATTTATGAAAGACATTGAGGCGCTGCAGGTGGAGGTGGTGAAAACGGTGGGTGCGTGCGTGGACGTTTGGCTGCCCTTCGGCGTTGAAGCTGGGGGTATGATGGAGAGCGCAGACGAGCTGCTGTACGTCCGCCTGGAAGCGCGTCGCCACAAGTAGAAGAGATAAAACACAAGATAAGGGCGTGTGTGCGTGCAAGTGAAATTGAAGGGACTTAAGTCGAACCGCTTTTTTGCCTTTCCCTCTTTCCCTCTTTCACTCTTTTTTTTTATTCCCCCCCCCCCCCCATTGGACTGTCAGTGGTGCGGTGCTTTTTTTTCCCATGATTATTGCGTTTATTTTGCGTGTTCGTGCAGGTTGTGCACTCATTGTTAGCGCTACTATTGCCAGTGGTGGAAGTTGCCTCCGTCAGCGATGTACAATCGTGTTATATATATATATATATATGCCTCTGTGGGTGTGTGTGGTTTTCCCCTTGTCTCTGTGCGTGGGAGGGGGCGAGCAGGTTAACTTGGCTGTGCGGTGCAACAGTTGCACAGGCAGAAGTGACGCCACTAAAAATCAAATTAAATATGGTACGGAAAGCAAAAAACAAAGAAAACAAAACAAAAAAAACCGACGGGAATTTTGGTTGCCGACCTTTTTGCTTCTTACCGTTTCCATCTCCCGCAGCGTTGACGCGGAT